CTTGAGATCTGCTTTTGTTGGGCGTGGTGTCTTGCGTTTGCCGCGTCGCTTCCCGGCGCCGAGGAACCCTCCCTCCCCCGCCGGGCACTCCTTCCTGTCTCCCCCCCCCCCCCCCCCTCCCCGCCGCCTTCCTGCCTGCCTGCCTGCCTGCCTGCCGGTTCAGGCTGCCCCCGGTACTTGGGGCCGCGGGTGCGAGTCCACGCTGCCACGGGGCATTCGTCCAAAGTTCCTCCCCTGCCTTTGCTCCTGCTCCTGCCCCGCGTTGCCTCGGTGACTTGCCTTCCCGGGGGGTTTTGTTCGTTTTTTTTTTCTCCCTCTTCCTTTCGTCCTCCCCCCTCCTCGGCAGATGAGACTCTCGACATCGCTGCGTTCCCTTCGATCGGTGGTCGCCAGCGCCACCCCGGCGCGTGGCTTCTCCTCGCTGGCGCCAACGGCAGCCGGGGGCTTCCCCGGCCCGACGGCCGGCCTGTCACCAGGCACCCAGCAGTACATGGATCGCCTGGGCCCGGAGGAGTCGGTCCCCATCCGCTGGCCCCGGCCGGAGGCGTATGCCGGCGGGGTGGCGGCTCTGCGTGGTCGGGTCCCTGTGGCGCCTGCCAACCCGGCGGCCGACCAGCTCCAGGGCCGGCTGTGCTATGCGGTTCGCAAGCCGGCTGTGGCGGCCGAATCCGATGGCGACCATCGACTGGTGTTCATCCACTGCACTGGCTTCCACAAGGAGTCCATGATTCCGCTGGCCCGGCATCTGGCGGCCCAGGATCCCCGCCAGACCATCGGGCAGCCGGATTTCCGGCACCTCGGCCAGGCCCTCTCCACGCCAGGCGTCTTCCTCATGCCGGAGCTCCCGGGGCCGGAGCCTGCCCTGGCTGAGCACCCGGCGGCCGATGTGTCCCCTTGGCGGCACATGCTGGTGGACCTTCGGAACCATGGGTCGAGTGCCGTGCTCAACCGGGCCCTCCTGGAGGCACCGGTGGCCGACTTGCCAACCGCATGGCCGAGCCGCGGTCCCAATCGCCTGATCCCGGAGCCAAGTCGCGTGGCGGACTTCGTCGACAGTTGGGCCGTCCACGCGCTGGATGTGATCGACCTGCTGGAGGCCGATCGCCGGCAGAACCCCGGCGCCGGCAAGACCGTGCTCGTGGGGCACTCCTTTGGGGGGTTTGTCTCGTACGTGTGCTCGCGCTGGGCGCAGACCCTCACCATGGGGAAGGGTGGCGTCCTTGCTGTTGCACGTGCATGGGATTGCTGTTTCTGCGGGCACTGTTGCTCCTGCGGGCACTGTTGCTCCTGCGGGCACTGTTGCTCTTGCGGGCACTGCTGCTCCTGTCGGCCGGCCTCGTCCATTCTCCAGCGCTCCACTGACCCATTTCGCACGCTCATTAACCCCCTTCCGACCACGGATCTCCCTTTATCTCTCCCTTACACCCACCCACACACACACACACACACACACGGGTGTATGCGCGCGCCTTCTTCCCCACCTGACAATTCCACGCAGCATGGTCATCGACTATCTCCGGCCGGACCTCGTTGATGGGCTCGTGTGCATCGAGCCGATCCTGGTGCCAGATCTGGCGGCCCCGCGGCTCGGCCTCGACGACGCCCAGGTGGCCAAGCTGGCCCCGACGTCGCAGGCCCTCGTCAACGGCGACCTCGGCCGCATAGTCCGCGGTTTGTCCTACGGCGGTCTCGAGGAGGTGGCCATCCGGCGTCGGACCGACTTCGAATCCCCGTGCGTCGCTCATGCCGCCCCCCCCCCCCCCCCCCCCACCCCACCCCACCCGCCCTCCCTTTCCCTGGCGCCCCCTCCGGCCCCCTATGTGGTTTCCCCTTGCACTACCCATGCTTTCGGCTGACAACGCTTCCCCCCTCCTCCGGTCCGCTTCCCCTGCTCCCTGTGCAAAGTGACGCCACCATGGAGTACTTCCAAGGAAAGGCACTCTTCCGGGAGTTCGACGCGGACACCACTCGGCTCTTTGCCACCCATGGCACGTGCCCGATCGCCGAGGGGCCCACCTCTTCGGCGATCTCCGGCCCCGACGCCGGGATGGGCGTTACCCTCAAGTGCGGCAAGACCAGCGAATCGTCCACCTATCATGGCGTGCACTCCGGCATCGAACTCTTCCCCCATGTCAAGGGTCTCACCCGGCCCATGATGATGCTCTTCTCCACCGGGTCCAACATCTAGTTCGTCCGGCTGGCCATTGCTCGCCCCGCTCTCGGCCCCGTCCCTCCTCCCCTTTTCCCTCTTTTCGCCCCTCCTGGTGTGGGGTTTTTTCTTTTCTTTTCCTGTCGCACTGACACGTATATGCGTATTTGCCACACTACCCCCTGCCTTCCCGGCGCTTCAGCCCACGGGCATATGCCGAGCTCCTGGTCGACATGCTGCGGTCTTCTCGGTCGGAGCCCGAGCCCGATGTCAACCTTTGCCTGATCGACGACAGGCGCTACTCGCATTTCATGCAGATGGAGCACCCCTACGAGATCGGTACCTATCTCCTCGTGCCTTTGATACCGCCTGCCTGCCTCCCATGCCCTCGCCTCTCATACGAGCTACGCCCGCTCTTCCCCCCTCCCCTCCCCCCCCCCACCCCCCGCCCCCCTCTCTCCCGGTGTCGAAGCCTCCCTTATTGGCCCCTGGATCAACCGCTTCCTCCCTTCGTCCAAGACACAGTGAGGGAGATCGACGAGACATGACGTCTGGTATCCTTGTTGCTGAGGGTATGCCACCTGGCTGGGCTCGGCCTGGGCCGGGCCCAGCCGGGCCCGCCCGACCTCGCTTTACTCCCTCCGTGGAATGTGAGCCAGAGGCCAGGGTGTCCGTGGGGCGGCACTTGGGGATGCTGCCAGCAGACTCGGCGTCTATCTCTCTTTCATTTTTTTTTCTTCCCCAACTCGGCTGCCGCGCGTCGATGAGGCAGCTTCCGGCAAATAGAGGACCCCCTCATCTGCGTCTATCTGCAGACCTTGTGTGTGAGTGTGAGTATGCCTGTGAACATGTCCCCGCGAGAGAGAGAGAGAGAGAGAGAGAGAGAGAGACATACATATACGCAATGCCATGAGAGTGATGGTTTGATTGGGCAAATAGGCCTCCTTAGATTGAGTTCCCTCCGCCCTGACTTCAAGTTGGCCCCTTTGACATGCGTCGCCCGGGAAGGCGGCCACGGACGCACAGGCATGAGAGGCACAACATTGCTTGGGGGATGCAGGGGGGGGGGGGGGGGTCAGAAGAGGGCCCATTGTGAACTTGGTTGGGAGGTGAGCCCCCCAGCCTGTCCCAGCCCAGCCGGCCCACACTCCCCGGCTTGCGAGATGTAGCGGCCGAGGGGAACAATGGGCAAAATGGGGGAGGCCCCCCCCCCCCCTGTTCACCAGGAGCACCGGGACGTCGGTCGGGGCTCGCTCCTTCCCCAGGTTGACACGCCAGGAAACGGCGTTAAGCCCCATCGGCGGATCCCCCAGCCATGCGTGCGGAGTTCCGGCGGCGAACATCCCCCCGGAGTGGTGGTCCCCGGCAGGGCTCCGGATGGTCCGGAGGATGGCTCAAAAAAGGACACAGCCGGGCACATCCCACCCATCACACAAGAAGGACACCGCAGCACTCCGAGAGCCTAGAGGGAGAGAGAGAGAGAGAGAGACACCCAACAAGCACTTACACGGGGACCAACCACACATCCAGGGGGCCCCGGGGCAGGGCCTGGGGCAGGGCCCGAGAATCGAGCCCGGAGCGCGGGGGGCACGGGAAAAGACCCAATATTTATTCGGATTTTCATTTCTCGTCCAGGATTATTGCCACCGGACTGAGGCAACAGAGGCCCTTGCTATGCTCTGCCAGCCTTCCAGGCCCCAGGGGGTGCTACCTGCCCAACCGGGAAGGGCGACCCGGGCCGGCCTGCGCAGCGGCGACTTTTGCGTCTCCCCACCCCCCCCCGGGCGCAGAAGCAGCATACTGAAGTGTTAAGCCTTCCGGACACAAACAGCGCCATCCACCTGCCTTCGCGGCCGCCGCCGCGGCCGCGGCCGCCGCCCGACACACCGAGGCGCAAATGCGCGCCGGAGCGGCGATTGTGGGGGGCGCCGACGCCACATGCCAACGAACCCATATGCCAACGGGAGATCGACGCCATGATTCATGGCGGACATGCTTTCCACGTCTCGGGCTTGAGAGACGGGCGAATAGGTGGGCCCCGGCCGCTCGGCCGCCGCCCCGCGGGTTGGATCTTTTAATTCGCCCCGCGTCCCTGGGGCGCCGCCGGGAAGGCGAGACGCGTCTCCAGGCACTGGGCGGCCTCGGTGTGCCAGCACCCCCGAGCGTTTTTGGACAACGTCCATCCCGCCGATTCTGGGTCTCTCTCTCTCACAACAAAGACGCGCGGCGGTCTTGGGCCCCGGCGCGCCCCCCTCTGCCGGGGGTGTCAAGGGCGCGTCCCCCCGGGGCGGACGGCCGGCGGGGAGACGTTGAACGGACCTTTCATTGGACCCCCCCCCGCCTCTCGCCCCCTCACGCATCCTCGTCCCCCCTTGCTCTCTCGCTCCCCCCCCCCCCCCGGGGATGGCTAGGAGCAGAGGAGCTGGGCGGCCGCACTCCGAGCCCGAGGCTAAGCAAAGGAGGGAAGGGAGGGAGCGGGAGCGGAGGAGACGGAGCCCAGCTGCTATGTTGGTTGCAAGGAGCGATGCGACCCCCCTCCCCCGCCCCTTCGTCGCCCGCGGCCCGGCCTGGACTTTCATTTCCCCCCTGCCTCCTTCGAGCGCGTCGTTTGTGCCCCCCCCCCCCCAGTCTCCACCATCATTTCTTTCAACCTCAGGCGTTGCCGCCAGTGTGAATACCCATCCCCGGGATGTGAGTGTTGCTCATGTCTCATGTCCAGATAGGGGAGCGGGGGGGGGGGGGGGGGGGGGGGGGGGGTCGGGGGGGGCAGGGGGGGGGGGGGGGGGGGGGGGGGGGGCAGGGGCAAGGTACCACCAGGGCGTCTGGCGTGCTGGTGAAGGGGACGGGCAGCGGAGGCGGCTTGGGCGGA